ACCACTAGAGAGGAGAATCATGAACGAGGAGCTACCGATTTCAAGGTGGACATACCAACCTTTGAAGGGAAGAACGATCCGGATGACTTTCTAGAGTGGCTGGAAACTGTTGAGCGCGTCTTTGACTTCAAAGATGTGCCCGAAGAAAAAAAGGTCAAGATCGTGGCATTGAAGTTTCGGAAGTATGCCTCCACTTGGTGGTCCAACCTATCCACCAAAAGAAGGCGAGAGAATAAGGCCCCTGTGAAGACTTGGCTCAAGATGAGGAGCTTGTTGAAGAAGAAGTTCCTACCCGAACAATATGTACGGGACAACTTTTCCAAACATCAACACCTGAGGCAAGGTCCTCGCTCAGTTGAGGACTATACTCGGGAGTTTGAAGAACTTTTAATGAGATGTGACCTTCACGAAAACGATTCCCAAACATTGGTACGTTACCTATTTGGATTAAACACTCAAATAGCTAATCTAGTAGAGCTGCAACCTTATGATACCTTTGAAGAGCTCTCTAAGCTGGCTCTCAAAGTTGAGTCCCAACTTAAGAGAAACAAAACCTCATTTGTCCGTACTTCACCCTTTTCCAAAACCCCTCCAACTACCTCAAACATAACTCCAAACACCCCTGCTCAAAATACCCACTCAAAACCCAACTCTATCCCGTCTACGTCCACCAATCCACCCCCATTCAAAACAGCCCAAACAAACACCCGGACTCCCAAATGTTTTTGTTGCCAAGGCATAGGACATTTTGCCAATGAATGTCCCAACAAGAAGATAATGGCCATTGTTGAATGCGAAGAAGAAGAGATCAGTCCTTCGTGGGCTGAAGAAGAGCTTGAAGAAGAAGAGTGTGTTGGAGCGGACGAAGGAGAACTCTTGGTCATCCGAAGGACCTTGAGTAACATAGCTAGTCCTGATGACCAACTACAGCGGGAAAACATTTTCCATACCCGTTGTACTATTCAAAAGAAGGTATGTACTTTGATCGTGGATAGCGGAAGTTGCACCAACGTTGCTTCAAAAACGTTGGTATATAAGCTGAAGTTGAAGACCTCACCACACCCAAGGCCATACACGATTCAGTGGTTGAACCATGGCAAGGGATTACGTGTGGATTCCCGGAGTTTGGTATCATTAAGCATTGGACGTAGTTATTCCGACGAGATATGGTGTGATATCACCCCAATGGATGCCCGCCATGTTCTATTGGGACGACCTTGGTTATTTGATCGGAAGGTGTTCCATGATGGATATGCCAACACATATTCATTCCTCATAAACAAGAAGAAGGTTACCCTCACATCCTTTCCCCCTCTAACCCCACAGCTACCCCCCCCCCATCCGAAGAAGAAACCCCCGTTCTCATTTCCACTATATTGCAAGCCGAACACCATGAATATGAACCCAGAAAAGAACTGATTCTCTTTAAAAACGAAGCCTCCGATTCTTCCACAACCTCAGCCCCACCCACCCGTTAGCAAAGCCTATCGTTGAGCAATTCTCCCATGTCTTTCCCGAAGATGTGCCTCACGGCCTACCACCAAAACGAGACATTCAACACAAGATTGATCTCATTCCTGGAGCTTCCCTACCAAACAAGCCTGCGTACCGAATGAACCCTGAGGAAACCAAGGAGGTCCAACGGCAAGTTGATGAGTTACTAGCCAAAGGATTCGTGAGAGAAAGCCTGAGCCCCTGTGCTGTTCCGGCTCTCTTGGTGCCAAAGAAAAATGGTACTTGGCGTATGTGTTGTGGTAACCGAGCCCTTAACAAGATTACCATCAAGTATAGGTACCCCATACCTAGGCTTGAGGACATGTTGGATGAACTTCATGGATCCAATATCTTCTCAAAGATTGATCTCCGAAGTGGTTATCATCAAATTCGAATCTTTGAGGGAGATGAATGGAAAACAACATTCAAGACGAAGTTCAGGTTATACGAGTGGATAGTTATGCCATTTGGATTAACCAATGCACCAAGCACATCCATGAGGCTAATGAATCAAGTGTTGAAGCCATTTATAGGTCATTTTGTCGTAGTATACTTATACTTTGACGACATTTTGGTCTACAGCCGGAACGAGGAAGATCATGCTAATCACCTCACTTTGGTGATTAAGAAATTGGAAGAAGAGAAGTTATATGGAAACCTTGAGAGGAGTCAATTCTTTTCTCAAGAAACCGAGTTTTTGGGATACTTTATGAGACGTCGAGCACTTCATCAAGAGATGTCACACTTGTCAACTTGCAAAGTCCCAAGCCTTACCCCAAGGAATGCACTTACCCTTACCCGTCCCGTACGCCCCGTGGGAAGATGTTAGCCTGGATTTCATTACTGGGTTACCCCGAACTCAACGAAGCAAGGATTCCATAATGGTGGTTGTGGATAGATTCTCAAAGATGGCCCATTTCATTCCCTGCGTTACTACATACGATGCTTCCCAAGTAGCCGATCTCTACTTCCGAGAGGTCGTTAAACTCCATGGCATACCCCACAGCATGGTCTCTGATAGGGATCCCAAATTCCTTAGCCATTTTTGGATGACATTGTGGAGAAAGCTAGGCACATAGCTCAAATTCAGTGCCACTAGCCATCCGCAAACTGACGGTCAAACCGAGGTCACCAACAGAACGCTTGGAACTCTCCTTCGAGTTCTAATCAAACGAAACATCAAGCAATGGGAAGAGCTACTGCCGCACGCCGAGTTTGCCTATAACCGAACCCCAAACAAGACCACAGGGCTATCCCCGTTCATGGTGGTCTATGGTTCGAACCCCCTCACCCCACTTGAGCTTGATCCCATCGTAGGAAAAGAGCAATACAGTTGGGCAGCTGATCAACGGTCCAAGGAAATTCAAGAACTCCACGAAAAGGTTCGAGAGAAGATTGAAGCGGTAAATGAGAAAGTTAGTAACAGGATCAACAAAGGAAGAAAATTCACAAGTTTTCAGCCCGGTGACTTGGTTTGGATTCACCTAAGGAAAGAGCGTTTTCCCGC